CCTAGCCGAGATTTTGGTAGCCGAGATGCTCCTAGCCGAGATTTTGGTAGCCGAGATGGGCCTAGCCGAGACTTTGGTAGCCGAGATGGGCCTAGCCGATTTGGTGGAGACCGTGAAGGTGGCAGCAGCCGCTTCGGCGACCGCGACGGTGGCGCGCCTCTTCGTCGGTTTGGCGACTCGTCGGACGCATCTCGTCGCTTTGGGTTCGGCGGCGACCGCGACGGCCCTCGGGACGACGGACCGCCTCGCCGCGAAGGTTCATTCCGACGGGATGCGCCTCCGTCGCGCGCACCCGAAGGTGGCCGATGGTAATGCACCTATAGTAGGACCGTCTTACATCCATATTTAATAGATCCACGTGATGTTAAATATGACGCCGTCGTCTTGTTCACTGTCGCACATTAGTATGGTTGATTTGTATGAGTTTCATTTAGCCAATCATCTCTATTCTGACTCTGCTCTAGCCAATCATATCGCTCTTTTTGTTTTATTTCCAACCTATCATATCGCTAGGGTAGGTTAGGTCATCATTCGGTTGGACCTTTGTGGCCATTGATTGGTGAAATAGGGCCTGAAGTTTCTGACAAGTCTATCCAATCATAACCAAGAAATTATGGGCCATCGGCTTAAATAAGCCAATCATATCCGTTCATTTTGGATTACAGTACCGGTAGTTATTTTGGACTTATAAGCAGTAGATCATGCGAAGTTGGTGTGCGTAGCCAGTCTCTTGTCATGATGGTTATTGCTTTGTAGCCATCAAGGAGGTACTTATGTACGACATACCCCAGCCATTGCGTTTCTCTTGATTTAACTATACTACGATATTGCTCGTGGGACTCAACCAGTCGCCATCCGTTATTGGACTTGGTCATAATTTCAATGGGTGATGAGTTGGGTGGTCGAACTCACACTATTTAAGAATCTCACAAAAGGTGGACCAACATGACACCAACCTGTTTGTAAAATTCACAAATAGTGAACCAAAATTGCACTACAATCATTGAGAATTCCAGTATATACACTATTTAGAAGCCTCGAGGATTCGTCCTCGCGAGAATGTGCTATAGCCAATCATTGTCGCTAAATCTATTGTATTTTAGCCAATCCAATCGTCCCATTAGATTCGAAAGGCGTCGTCGAAAACCTTGATCCATTGTTCCGTTGAACGTCCATGCGCATCAGGAAGCGAAGCCTCGACTTGGCCGACGGAAGCATCTTCCAGCGCCATCATGAGTCCGTCAATGTAGAAGGACGCCGCGGACTCTTCAATGACATCTACATCTCGTTCATCCCCCATGCCACCGAGAACGTTGTGTTCTTCCCCGGCGACGTCCAGCACTTTGACCACGTGATGCGGCGTGGTGCGTTCAAGTCATTCGCTGCATACTCGTACGAATCCATGTGCGCACACTACGTGCGGCGATTCCCGCATGCAAATGTATGGATCGTGAAACCTCGCACGCACGCCAAAGGGGTCAGCTGCTATGACAACTTTGTCGACAACACGGACGGCGAACCTTCCACATGTGCGACCACCTCACCATGTTCTTACTTGACACATCCGCCTGTAGATTCCACGGACGGATCGGCGTTTCTCCATCTCCAACTGCTCCTCGAACACACGACCGCGCTGTTCCTCGGTAGGGCGTTGCATTCATTCTAGATCTTGTCGCTCATCACAACAACACGTTCCTTCGCAGACGCAGGCCGCCAACTCGCATGGGACCTACCGCTGCATCTGCTGGGGTTTAGCCGCGGAGCTATCGTACTCAACCAGCTCATCACGGAACTCGGGTCGTTGCTACATTTGTCGCCTTCCCCCACCCACGTCGATGCTACGTTGACAGGTCCTATTGTCGTTTTACAACCTAAAATTTAGACTTTTGTACTGAATCGCCAAATCCATCGATCGATATTCTTATTTTGAAATTCGTATGGGATCGTAATCACACTAATTTCAGTCAAACACTAATTTAATGTCGTCGATGGTGCGTTTCCTGCATTCTGATTGGCTCAATTCTTTCTTCTGCCGATTCGTTTCTTCTGTCATACATTTGGTTGTGTCGAATATTCATTCTCCAGGTCGCTCCAGTTTAGAATATAACACGACAATTAATATTGTTCATTTTACCTAATACTTCAAAGTATTTGGAGTTTGGTGCTGATTCGCCAAATTTATCGATCGATTCTGACTTGTAGATCGTCCAGTATCACACTAATTCCAATCACACAACACATGAATTCGAAGTCGAATTGGTCAACGAGTGAATTTGATTGGCCACTTGATTCATGTACTGGATTTTGATTGGTTGATGATTGAGCACCTCACTCAAACTTTTCGAATCGACTTTCGAATAATGTCATCAAAGTAGATGTCAAGTCCGGGTCCATCTCTGCCTTCTTTGAGCGCGTGGACACCATCGAATGGCTCGATGGCGGATGCAACGTCGAGGGCCTGACGTTCCCTACCGACGAGTCGGCGTTGGTGCTACTCAATGCATTCCAGTACGTCGTCGCAGGAATCAACGTATCTCTGAGTCTGATTCTAGACACATTCAACTGCGAGTGTTTGCCACGCCGTACCATGTGAAGGCGTCGGGTCGACCGTGGTACGCCAACGACGTGGCCGCGTTTCAAGCCACGTGTCCCCACGTCCATCTGATCCTGTACGACCCTCTCACGCGACTCAGAATCAGATGGGGGGACAAACTGAGTCTGTCTAGGTGCTTTATGGACGACCCACCGTCGCTGGAAAACCATTTTGACGTGCTCTTTGTCCCGTAGTCGATCTCGTGGACATATCCGCATTTGATGAGGATGCAAATATAGCCACCCATCATGGTACAGACACAATGGGAGGGAGTCCGTCGGAACCCCCTGGTGCCCCAAGTGACTGAGCAATCCATAGTGACACCTGTATCGATATGAGTTAGATTTTATGCAGGGAATTCAATATATCGATGGTGAATCCCCATCTAACCAAGAAGACTGTGGGCCAAAAACTATATGCAAAAGCATATTTTTCCTGTGATTCTTGCAATTGGTTGGGTACTGTAAACAATCAAATGAAGTAGACTCATGTGGGGAAGGCGCGGGGCGGGAAACTTTGAAATATACCCACGATCGGGTACCAGTTTCTACCTCTGAAACTAGGAGATTGTACCTGATATGGTTGGTGTACATGTATGTTGTATACCGCTAAACGTTATTCTCAAACAGCATCCAATCCAATCACGGGTTCTGTCGAATTTCTGCCAATCAACGTCAGTCCCTCACAATATAGTGCGTCCAAGTGAAATTTCGTGTTGTACCAAACCGATCCACAATCGATCTGATTGGTTGAATTTCATTGAGAAGGTTTTGATTGGCTAATAATTTTGAGCTCATCGGAGGTGGCCAATCAAATCGGTTTAAATTCCAACGAGAAATCGGCGATCCCGAAATCTGTATCAAATCGACAATAACAGGTGTACGTACTGTACTTGTTAACGTAAAGTGTACAGTAAGTAGTACAGTATACCTCTGCACGTCTACTAATGTGTCGAATAGGTATATACAAAGTACGACAACACACGGGGCAAATATGAATGGTGGTCGCACATTTTTTCAAAACCCAAAATCCATCTTTCTACAAGTGCATACTTTGCATGCGACTGCGCGCGACGCACACGCCGACGATCGTGAGGACGAGGGTCGCGATGCCCGTGGCGACCCCCACGACCACCCACGTCGTCATGCTGGCGCCGGCAAACGTGAGGGAGCCGCCGCCGTCCACCGTCACATTTGCCGCGGGGCCGGCGGATGCGCCTTGGACGCGGATGGGAAACACATTAAGGCCGCAGTTGAGTCCGTCGTCCATCTTGAGCCACATATACCCCGAGAGGCCCCAGTCGACATCGTACGAGTTTTTGAGAATCCAGTACCCGCTGCCGTCGGCCGCCGTGCCGTACCCCACCAGCAGAATCGCGTGGTCGATCTGATCGGAACTTGTGATGGCTCCACACACAAACACGCCCGCCTTGTACTGCTTGAATGTACCCTTGGCATTCAAAGCCACCCCCACCGGTCCTTGCTGCAGGGCCCGCTTGAGGAGGACCACCGGGTCCTTGGTGTCGGTGCATGAACTGCCGTCTACCGCCGGCGCCCATCCCGAGATGTGCGCCGCCGTATTCGCGGCTGGCCGCGTCGAGTCGCAAGAGTTGAGGGGATTCGAGGTATTTGAAGTGTTGGTTGATTTGGTAGAGAAAGAAGAGGAAGTAGGCTGCACGGGCGCGCCGACGGATGACGCCGTGTACGCGTCGTTGTACGGCCAGTCGATGCGCGTCGCGAGGTTCTTGATCTTGTTGGCGGCATCGCTCAGTGCAATATGGGTCATCCCGCCCGCACACTAAATATATATATGTTGGGGTTAGTCTGGAAATAGGGAATTGAAAGAATATATTACACAGACGTTCATGAATCGATGAAATGCCGGCCGAACATTATACAGCCAATCAGATGATGCGTGACGAAAGTCGTGGATCACTGGAATTAGTGTGATTCATCTGCATAATATAAACAAATTCGAAAGTCGTGGATCGCTGGAATTAGTGTGATTCATCTGCATAATATAATCGGTCGGAAATCACCACTGGAATATGGTATTTTTTTTCGAAATATACAGAGAAACGATATATAATAATATCTTGGGGAGATAGGAATGATTGTACCCCTTTGTTCGTTGCGTCCCACTTCATCGAGGGTTCGAGCCACGTCGGGATGTTGCCGCTTCTGGCAAAGCAGTACGTGTACGTGCGGACTTCGGCGGTGGTGCTGCACGACAAGAGCTGCTGGGACGACAGGGACACGGGAGGGTTCTTGGTCGTGTATGACACCGCCGTCTCGATGAGGTCCGTGGCGGCGAAAGCCCAGCAGGACCCGCACAGCTTTTGGCTCTTGACCTCCGAGCACACAGAACGTTTTTGGGGGTTGTTGTCGGTGCACCAGTTCAAGGTCGCGGGAAGGGTGCCGCCGCCGCTGGCCGTGGAAGTCGTTGTCGTCGACGCTTGCAGGCGGCGATCGATCACCTTCCCCTGCATGTTGACCAAGACAGCGTCCAATGGATCCCCCAAGCCAGCCGTGTCTTCGTACAAATGGCGGGGATTCAAACCCAGTTGGATCGTCATGTCGTGGTTCATGTCGTTTGCATGTGTATACACCGCTAGGCGCACACAAGGTGACATAATAGGACACGATGGGATGGAGGGATACCTTCGATGTACTCGATGTGTGCTTTCAAGTTGCGCTTTGCAACGTCGTAGTTGTCGCCTCGATGGTAAGTAACGAGCATGTCGTGTAGAATCCGTTGGTCATTCACCAATTCGTTCTGCTTGCCCTGCCATAAGCATCCCCCGGCCGAGGTGCATTCTACCAGCGTGGCGAACGTGTGGGAGGATGCAGATGTGGTGGAGGCCGCGGCGGAGGCGGCCGCTACGAACGACAGAACATGCACGAGCATCTTAGCCTCGTTTTCCACCGTCGTCCTCAAGCAGAAATGCTTGCTTTCAGCGTTGTTACTTCCACTGTTATCCGGACACTGGGCAAGCCTTTTACAAAATGCAGTACATCTGGCCACATTTATCCGAAATATACCTTTGTTTTTACAGAAACGAACTGGTATTTTTGCTTATAATCCAATTGAACCGTATATAGGTTGCACCTTTAGTACTTGATACTATTAAATGATCTGGATTAGGCCAATTAAAATTAGGATAGCTGGTCAGAGATACTACAGTGTTACTACGTAGTACTAGTATAATACTACTATTTTAATAGTAATATAGTAGTACTATTAAAATAGTATATTATTACTTCAACACTACAGTAACCGGTCAGTTTTCCGGATACTCGGATCTTCCACTTGGTTGGGATACTAGTACCTGATTCTTACTACATGTACGATTACTCGTAAACCAGTAAACGAGTAATCGTACATGCAGTATTGTGAATTCGCTATAAACTTCCAAAATTCGCGTGGCTTCTCTAATCGATATTGAATCACGCCGGAGTTCTGATTGGTTGAATCTACTTGTCCTTTCTGCAAAATCCCACTCAAAAATCAATTAGCCAATAGCGTTGATTTGTGATTCGATTCGACGGGTCTGGAAATTCGTACGAATAAGTATTCCCTCATTAAAACAGTTCCACTGTTGTTTTGACCCGAAATACTGTTTCAATGAGGGAATTATCCTTTTCGCCAGTAGCCCTGTGACCTGGGACTCCGTCCTACCCCCGGTGAGTACATACGATGCTAAATCTCCAGTGCATCGCTAGTCGTTAGTTATCGCTAACCACTGAGATGCACTTAACCCCTAGTAAGAGGTGAGGTGGTCTGAGCATACAAAGTTCCATATAAACCTCATTGAAACAGTATTTCGGGTCAAAAGAACAGTGGAACTGCTTTGATGAGGGAATTGTACAAATTCGTACCGAATCCACAATATCATCCAAATCACTCACAGCGAGTACACTGAATGCTTGTTTAAACCATCATTAATCTACAAACACAAACCCCGAAACCCCTAAAATACCATGCTGCGTGAATCTGAACAGAATCCCATGCAAAAGGCTTCATGACTGTGCATGGCTGAAGCGGATGATATACTATGACGAAGCGCGATATTGAGTCAATATATCGTGCTTACTGTTAACCCCCTCCATTTTTAATGTTGAAAATGGAGAATAAACAATTACACACTTTTTTTAGGTATATCATTGGCTAATATGTTTTCCACCGTCCACCCACCAGGAGTTCCGATACTGTAGTACAAAAAATAGTATTCAGCAGAATAATCTGAACATCGTCCGCGTTATAATTTCCTCTAAGTGGGACAACCGCGCAAGTTTTCGAGCGGGAATGCACGCTCACAAGAGTGAGCGTTTACTAATAGTAATAGTAGCTGTTAACCTGATGTCAATAACAACTTACGTAAACAATCATTGGTTTCATTTGAATTTGCCAAACTCCTAGCCCAATAGAATGTAAGAATGATATTGTGAATTCCGATGAAATTTTCACTTTTGGGTCGGCTTGGCCCGTTATTTGAACCGCCAATAAATTGACGCCTCGTTTTGATTCATCATAAATATTGTCAAATCGATTCGAAACTGGGGCCCTCAGCCGAATCGAATGTCTTACGTAAGAGAATGGATTAATGAACCGCTTAAGCCAATCAAATCACATTTCTGCCAATTCAAACGTTCGACTCGGCCCTCTGCAATTTGGCAAAATCATATATACTAATATTTGTATAGTATAGTTTGTACAAGCTCAAATTGGATCAAATGGATTCGAATGCTATTTGTCATATTACCTGTGTCGTCCATGACATGCCAGTTTTGGCCAAACGCTTCTACTGGAAAGCAATGATAGCGAAGTTAGCAAGCGTAGACTATACGAGATGACATACCCAACCATGTACTAGTATGTTCTCATCAAGAAGACCTTTGATTTACATGTGTATCATTCATCGTTCTTGTGTCTGCGGATCCAGCAAGTCAAAGCTTGTGGCAAATACAAATACAGTACCTTTATCGCTGCAAGCGAAAGATAAGGTTATAAGGGTTTCGTAGACATTTCATAAACCCCTCAATATCTCTAAATAGTATACAGTACATAAATGATGCAATTACAGAGGTTTCGGTTGATTCAAGGTGACGGCAAACGTCATTAACCAGAAAAAGCAAGGTGAAATAACGTTACGTTAGGCAATTTTGTATGCTGCGCAAGGTGAACCACCTTGCGAATTCCATAAATAATTCTGAAATTGTACAGATTCAATTAAATATATCTTCAAGTTTGTATTGATGACTTCTATTTTTCATGTGTTTGTCTCTTTTTGGAATTCGCAAGGCAGGTCACCTTGCGAATTCAAAATTGTCCAATTTGTCCAATCAGATGCCGTGAAATCACGAAAATCGCTGCGTAGATTCATCACGCCCTGTTGCGATATATTCTACTCCTGTCATGGTGGTTGATGCAAGGAGCATTGAGATAATTATGTAGGCTGTGTATGAGAGCAAGATCATGCGATGTGGTATCCCGGACTCGGTCAATTCGAACAGGTCTAGACTTCAGTAACATCACCACTTGCCTGTTAAATCAATGAATGTGGTCATCCCACATTCCACCATCAGTCCGTGTCGGTGCCGTACACCTCCCTACTGGAGTAGTCACGTGGTTGCGCGGGCGGGTGGCGCTAGACGTCTTGGTGGCACCCATCGCAAGTGCTGAAGCTGCCACTTCAGCACTTGCGATGGGTTCCTACTGTACCAAGACGTTTTGCGCCACCGGATTGGCCCACCAGAGCCGTCACGGCATTGCGACCCAACCGAGGGCACAACATAATGTTAGCTATAAGGGGAGAACCACATTGGACATAGTCGGAGTGAACTCATCAGTGCACAATCCTCTCGAGCAGCATCACACAAAAGCTCTACAAAATTCACAGTTCAAAATTGTAACCTCTTCTGCCAGTATTATAGCCAATCGTATGTAAGAAGCAAGGTGTGATGGACTCTGATTGGATATTAAAAAGGAGCAAGGTTCATTAACAAGTCAAAATACAGTCGGATTATTATAACGTTACCGTTGCACCATTGGGTGGGATGCCATAACGAGAATTCTATATACTAGTATGCTATTCATGCAATCGCACGTGGTTAACTAGTAGTACTGTACTACTTACTCTACACCGTGGGCTCGACATAGGTTAATGTGCCGCAGTTTTGAAACTGCTGCGAGTTGAGTCCGTCTTTGGGGGCCAAGGGGTCGATACGAGAGAACTCGATGAAGGACGCCATGCTTCGGAGATGGCCGAGACCGAATTGACTCATGTTGGTCGTATCATAGTCATTCGAAGTCACGGGGAGACCAAGGAGGGCTCGGATGCGCCGCTTGGACTGCTGCTGGATCACATAGCGCTGTGGCCAGTCCCGTTCCCACACCACTGGGCGTTCCTCGTAGTAATGGTACACGACATCGCGAATGGGGGCGTACATGTCATACCTAATGAAAGCAGTTTGTTGGTTGAGAATGCACTCAAAATTCCCCCGCGGTTGGTTGAATGAAGAGGTATCTTTATGACTGCACTACTAAAATTTATCTTTTTAGCCAATCAAATTTCAACCTGTACTCTTTGCAGCCAAAGTTGGCATTAATCACCCAAAATAGGCAACCTTGACTGAAAAAGCTCAATAATAATGTACTAGGCCACGAAGACTACACGGTAGTACGTCGCACATAACTAAAGAAGACGAGTACTTCGTAACACATAGGATGGACATACCCGTGGGTAAATAGACGTGCAGCTTTCGAGTACTCTTCGCCGTGAAACAAAAACGGTGTAAACGGATCGTTCCGCACTTGTAACGCGCCGGCGGCCGAGCCGAAATTGAACCCACCGGCGAATTGACTCACCAAGACTGGCGAGAACCGATAAGGCATGAATTGTTGCGCCGGGGCGCTGTACTGCACCATCGCATCATCGTCAATGGTCTCAATTCGCGCATAGCACATGACCGACGTGGAACCTACATGCATGTATATATCGTTATGATTCCGACACGGAATTCAAAACAGTACTTAAACCCAACCACCGCATAGTCCACTGATCAAAGAGCGTGCGGGTGGTCGATTTGGGGTAGACAGTTAACACCGCCTTGGGGTTGGCTAACGAATCGAACTGGGACTTGAGCTCCATGTCCCAGTGATGTACAAACACAATATGCGAGTCAACGGCCAATGCAAATGTGTCCATGTGCACATCGATGCCTTTCTCCGTCTCGTAGCGCGCCTTGGTGGGCCCTGTGGCCAATGCTGCGTCCAGTGTGTCGTTGCGGCGGACAGCATGGCGGCGGCAGTGGGCTTCCCCCACGTCGGCGCAGTACACGTCCATGCAAGTTCGCTCATGGCTGTAGATCTGATCGAATAGACTTAATGACAGCAGGTCGGGACGGGCCGCGTTGGTGAAGAGCGACTGCAGCGTCTGCGCGCAGCGCGTCGAGTCTCGGTAGTTGGCAATGAGGACGATAGTACGCCGGGATTCTTCCAGAATCGCAAACGTCATGCGATACTGCTGGAAGCTGCGAATGAGAAGAAAAACGAGGAGAGCACCAACGCATGTATGTGCATGTCCGCGGAGCCAGGAGCGGCAAGACTGGCGGCGATCGGTGCCAAGAGGCGCCGATGGCAACATCGATTCATGAAATTTACATCGATGCGATTGGTGGATGTTAAGTCCCAATTTAATCTTACCGGTACTTGATTCGTTTATGATGAAAATATTTATATCCAATCATAACATACCGGTTAGCCACTCTGGTAATATTTTGAATAATACTTCGAAGTAGTACAGTATTAATAACAGTTAGAGTAAACTTCCAAAATTCGCTGGGTTTGCCTAATCAATATTGAATCAAGCTGGAGTTTTGATTGGTTGAATACACTTGTCCTCTCTGTATGAGCCAATCATATGCACTCAAAATTGGATTAACCAATAGCGTCGATTTGTGATTCGATTCGGCGGGCGAGATTGATTCGATGGTCTGGAAATATGTACCGAATCTACAATAACGTTATTAACACTTGAGCTTCTTGCATCCGTGAGTGAACATTTCTTCGTTGGGTTCTGGTTACATCTACTATTAGTACGTCCAAGACTCAGCGCTCGAGTTGCACCCGCTTGTGGTGCTACTGTACTATATTATTCCTGCCATGCATTCACTGTCAGGATTTGCAAGGACTAGGAAATCACTAGCCGTAAAGTATAAATAACATTCGCATTATTGCTATCCTCAAAGTATAGTACGAGTACTGGTCACCACACAAGCTACCATGAGGGACTACTAGTAGACGATTATAATGGTACCCCTCCACATTACCCCTCGTACAAGGTGGACGGTGAGGCCATGTTGATTGGACACGACGGGCAGGGTGTAACCGTGTAACTGGCGAAACGACTGTTTCTCCGTGGGTGGGTGTTGCCACATGGATGAAGACAATCCTTGACAGCATCTGGGCATGGACTGGGCTGTTCAGCTACCGGTTCGACGAGCTCATCTCGACCCGTCGCGGCCAGATCGCCGCCTTGATTCTGGTGGGGGGCGCCATCATCGTGGGCGTGAGTCCCGTGGTGGTCTTCAGCAACCACACGACGTTCTTCGGGTCCCTTTACGAGACCGCCGTCGACATTCTGGACCCCAAGATCGAAATGCCTCGCTCCGACAAGGGCGACACCATGACCTTTCTATGGGTACTACTGTGACCAACCCGCCATGACAACGCCATACATAACAGATGGCATCATAGATATCCCGCGGGTGCACCTTCTCGGTGTTTGTCATCACGTCGTTGTATGCTAATGTCATGGTCGGCTTCGTTGTGGACTGGATCGTAGTCAAGATGGAAGCCGTGGACAAGGGCACCCACGCCATTGTCGAAACCAACCACTCGGTACTAACGAATCCTGTCAACTCACTAGCCCCCAACTAACTCAACTAACTAGCCACCCTTGACCATCTTAGGTCATGCTGGGGTGGGGAGACAAAAGCATGGGGTTTATTCGAGAACTGTGCCTGGCTAATGAAAGCGAAGGCGGCGGAGTCGTGGTCATACTCAGCCATCGCCCGAAAGACGAGCTCGACATGGAAATCCGGACCATGGTGTTGTTGCGAGGCACCAAAGTCATCTGCTGCACAGGCAACCCCCTCTTTGCTGCGGACCTGCTCAAGGTGTCTGTGCACCGCGCTCGGAGTATTACGATCATGTCTACCCATCCCGAAACCAGCATGTCCGACGACGCCCTCGTGCGTGTTTTGCTCACCCTCAAGAGCTTGGTTAGTATTTAACATTTTTGTGGCTAATTATACTATGAACGAACGGTGGTGGTAGAGCCACCCCCTGCAAGGCCATATCGTCGCCGACGTTGGTCAACTCGACAACAAGCAATTCATGCGCATGATTGGGGGGGACATTCTGGAGGCGCTCGTGTCGCGTCACATCGTCGGCCGCCTCGTCGTGCTCTGTTCGCGGTCGCCCCATTTAGGTCGGGTATACAATGCGTTGCTCGGGTTTGGCGGCCACGAATTCTATTTAAACGAGTGGCCAGAGTGCGTGGGGGTCCCCTTTGGTGACCTGTATACCCACTTTGACTCTGCCATTCCCATCGGACTTCGCACCAAGTACGGCCCCATTGCCCATGTTTTTTAGTACATACTAGTACTCGTAGTGAATCGTCCGACCTGTAGATCGGGCCATGTGCTGGTGAAACCTCGTCACAGCCGCCTCGTGGAGCGTGGAGACGCCATCATTGTTCTGGCCGAAGACAACGATTCGTATACAGCGTTACTCCATCCAGTGCAGATCCCGTGGTCCGATTATCATCGTTCGTTTCAGAAACAACCGCTGCCTCCGCCCCCCAGACGAATCCTATTGTGCGGATGGCGGCGGGACCTTCACACGATCCTCCACCTGTTGCAGCATTTGTCCCAGCCGGGAACGGTTGTAGACTTGGTGAACCCCACAGATATCGACGAACGACTCGACACATTTCGAGCGGACGGCCTTGACTTGGACTCCCTGACAAACCTCAACGTGGCGCACATTGTGGGAAATTCCGCGTCGAAACGCCAGCTCACCAACGTCCACGTAGCGTCGTACGATTGCATCATGGTCGTGACAGACAAGGACCACGAAGACGAACCCATGGGCAGCGATTCGCACATCCTCAAGAGCGTCATGCTGCTGCGGTCGCTCGAGTTGAAGCAAAGTCGGCGGGTGTTTCACCAAGTGCCGTGCGTGGCCGAAGTGCTGGACACGCGTACTCAAAAGACCATTGCGCACAACCCGCTGATCGACGGCACCGCCGAATGGATTAACTCGAACGACTTGGTATGCTATGTTATTTTACATCGAGTTTGTGGTCGTTGGCTTTATAGATACATTTTTTTCATGTTTTCCCAATATATATATATATGTTTTCCCAATATATATATATGTATTTACAATGCTGGGCGTGTATGTAGGTGAGCCGCATGTTGGCCATGATATCGGAGAATCGGTTTGTGAATGCCGTCTTTGACGACGTGCTGGGCGATCATGGCAGCACATTTGACGTGTTGCCAGCCTCTCGGTACGATATATATCCGTTCAAATTTCTCATGGTTTTGGAATTTGTTTTGTCATTCTGAAATGTATATTTATGTAAATATATCGATAGATACGCCGAATCGGGTGAATGTAAAATATATCGATAGATACGCCGAATCGGGTGAAAAAATCAACTTTTGGCAACTCGCGCAGCGGGCGTCAGTCCAGTACGACGAAATCGTATGCGGGTATGTGTACATGACCAAAGCTGGCCACGATGTCGCGCCAGTGGTGCTCAATCCCCGCGATAAAGTAACCCCTCGTTACTGGGACAAATTCTGCGTCGTCGTACTGCGAGACTCAGCCCAACGCACGACATTCACGGAGAAGCAAGCGTTGCGGTGGAAGGTCCATGTGGTATGACTAACTATATCGTACCTTTATTGTGCTTTTCACACAAATTTGGGCTTTTAAGCCAATTAGCAAAAGCAATTGACTCTATTTAAGCTTGTACAAACTATGCAATGCAAGCTTTAGTATATATGAGGTTTTGCCCAATGCGGATGGACTCAACCGAATATGTAATTTCGATTGGCAGAAATTCATCGGAACGTGATTTGATTGGCTTAGACAGTTCATTAGTCTGAGGGCTCCAGTTTCGAATCGATTAAACAATATGACTAACGTTAACTAGATTTGGCTTTCGTTGATGTCTCAACCGTGATGTGAATCGAATAGTTGCGGTCGTTTGGTAGTCCCACTAAGTCAACTACTAACCGCCCAAAAGCCCCGCCATGCAAAGCTCGACCTTTGAACACTGTAACAACAACCAACAACAGAAGAGATCCGTGCGAGTTTGACACCGAAACGATGCTGCCTTGCTTGGCCAGTCCTCGGAATCACGAGCAGGACGATGACGTTATCACGGTGACCACCGGAAGTTCCATCGGCGACGTCGCGTTCACCATATCAAACGAAGTGGCAACAACAAGTCCCCTTGCAGCAACCTCGGCCTCTGAAACAGCACCTGACGCGACGTTCACTTCCCATCCAAGACAAATCACACCGTGGGAAGCTGCCAACCGAATAGAAGACGAACTGGCCAATGTGCAGCAAGCGCTGGCATTTTTGGCGTCCGCGACGACGGCTCCTGCCATGATATCCTCTTTAGATCTGTCGTCATCGTCGTCGTCCCCTTATAGAACACCAACACCTAGAACACCAACACCACTAGGGTGTAAAGTAACCCCATCCTTATTTTAACTTATCATAAATACGACACTTGTCGTCCTGGTAGACCCAACCCGGCCACGACGTCTTCTATCTCCTCAGTCATGCCCCACAACTCTGTCAATCTTGCCTTGATCGGTCGTCGAAACATGCGGCGGTCAGGTGCTTGCGTGCTTAGCCACGGTGTCACAGCGTTGTAACGCTGTTGTTGTCTCCGGATTGTATCGCTGGACCCCTGGAGCAGCTGCGTGTCGGGGGGCATAGAGCCCCACCTCCCACAGAACGAAGAAGTTGCCGTGTGACTGGACTGTTTCAAGTGCCGAAAGCTGCTGTGCATTGCCAAGTCTTCCAGCCGTGGAATGACCTGAACCTCGTCGTCTTGAGCTGGCGTGTCGCCGCCGCCTTGTTCATTGATGGCATCGCGACCGTGCTTGTGCGCCAACACTTGCCACAGCGCGGTGCACGCCAACTGCATGCGCTTGACGTTTTTCTCCCGTCTGCCTTCGCACAATATGACTAAGTCCATCTTGTCCCAATACGAATAAACGCCGGTCTTGTCTGATGGGTTGAGCTGCGTGGGCTCGTCGGCGTAGCTGGACGACATGTGCGGCTGGAATCCGCACACAATTTCGTCCATTTGCTGGGCGCGCAGGACGAGGTCGTGGAAGCTGATTCGTTCGTGCTTGTCGAGCAAATACCGGGAGGCGGGCACGACGTCCAGCGTCGCCCCCTTTCCGCTGAGCAGTTCGTCCAGTATGCCTTTGACGTGGCGGTTCTCACACACCATCGCCAGCATGCGACTGATCTACGACCATGATTGGAATCAAAAACTGATATGTATCGACTCTGTGGAGGATGACGGAATCAAAAATGATAAATATCTGTTGTATGACGATGTGATCGGAAAATGATATGTGTCCACAGACTGGATGATGACGTGATTAATACTGTGTACATCAATACTTGAGGATGACGTGATCAAACAAACTTGATGCCAGGAGAAAAAAATGATATGTAGGTATCGATGATGATAACATGGACACATAATGATATATTTGTCGATACTAGCTACAATGACGTGATCTAAACATTGATGACGTGATCAAAATCAATGACGATGACGTGATCCATCATGGATACGACGTGCTAAACGAGAGACGGATGGTGGGTTCGTACCAGTTCGTTGGTTTGGACAAACTCACTGCTGTCCCGGATCTGTTTATTTTGGAGGATGGTTTTTTGGGTGCGCGGGTCCAGCACTTCGGCAATGCACGGTATCTTTCGCTGGCGTTGTTGTAACTAGTCCACTCGTTAGTTGATTACCGGAAGTTGCTATAGTTAACTAGTCAACAACCTACCTCGGCGACCTCAGAATGGACAAACAATTGCTTGGTGCGGTAGGATTGCTGTTCGATCTCGACACTCCGCAGCACCAGCACCGTCGCCAACACGTGCGAGTCACTCGCGAGGATATCGCTCTCCCTCGATGCATCGCACACGACAATGTACGAGTCAAAATCGTGCAATTGGATCGGACTGACATGGCGCCGGACAGCGGCATTGCCTTCTAAATGCACCAGCGAGATGTTGGACAGGGAACTCACGTCCATTCCGTCGTCCAGTAACATGGCCACCCGCGCCTCGACCGATACTTCGTTTAATAAGTACACCACCGTGCCTAATATGTAAAACGATCAAGATCTTTATACAATTTATAGATATCCAAAACGTAGTTCCCTTAGTTTAAAAATAGGCAGAAAATGAAATAAAAACAAAACTCCCAGCGTCCAATATAGAGCCCAATATAATTTTAAATTCAGCCTCAAAAAATTAAATCCTTTATTTCTGGGCAAACTAGGGAGTTGTACAGACAAGGCAATATTTAAGTAAATAGTACTAGTAGATTTGATGCCATTGTACTAGTAATATTGATCTTTAAAAAAAGACCCCTATTTTTTAAATATAATACTTCGAAGTAGTATGTAATACAAAAGGTCGTCATAAATCATGCTGTCGATGTGCTAGTACCTGGTGCGGACAACGTATCCAAGAGGCGCAACATGTCGCGGAGATCCCGTCGCCATCCGCAGACTAGAATCTTCTGGCGGGTTTTGGGCTTCATTGGAGCGGGAAAGAGGTCGCCAGTCGGGACTTTTTCTGCTGATTTTGTGTCCGCCTTGGATGTTTGGACGGTGGGCATTGAAGTAGGGGTTGTAGTGGGACTGGCTGTGTCGGGCGCTTTTGGTTTATACGAGTCATTGTCTTCTGCGAGCACGAGAAGTGCCTCACCAGGCTGCATGCGATGCCCCATGGCAGGCAGCAAGTGCACATGTCCTTTGACGTCTCGGTACCCGATGGGGATGGCATCGCGGAACCAGTGGGTCAGCAGGGCAAATGGAACGCCCACGCATTCCGGCCACACTTCAAAGTAGAATTCGTTGCCAGAAAACCCCAACAGGGTGGCGTACACTACAAAGAACGAACGACAGGGTTCAATTGAACCAAAACATGACAGGCAACCAACCTTTGGCCAGCCCTGGCGATCGACTGCACAAGACAATCAATCGCCCCATGATGTCATTCGATACGAGGGTTTCCAAGTTGGCCCCCCCGACCAACTGAATCAGCGCATCGTTGTCAATGTCGCTCGTGTCAGCAACCACGTGGCCCTTCACCTGCACATGTGTTGGCATCTGCAAAAACGTACGGTATACTTTACCTCTGGAAGGCTATCGATGGCGAGGATGACACGCAAGAGGTTGGCGTCACTTTTCCCAGAGTCGTGGTCGGTGCCCAAAATGCAAATGCTGCGGGCTGTGTGCGCCGACACCATGTTGAGGTCTGTAACAAGCAGGGGGTTTCCCGTTCGGTAGATCACTCGCGTTCCCAGCCGCGTGGGTAACTACTCACAGCATAATTGACTCTCCCCAACAAAGCAAGCTAGATGACGACACAAAAAGCAGATACTTGGGAATCGCAGGTGGCAGCCATACGCTCGTTGCTCATGTCTGCCAGGACCACGACCACGCCCCCACCTTCGCTTTCGTTGGCGTGGCAAATCTCCTGAATGAACGGAATCGCCTTGTCCGACCACCCCAGCAGGAGCTAGTCAAACGTTAGCCATCGTTGAGAGGAGTGTGTATCCGGCTCGGTTATAATGCTACCGTGTGGTTAATCTCGACGACAGTCGTGCGGCCGTGCTTGAGCTGGTCCATCTTTTCCCGGATCGAATCGACCACGAACGCTACAACGACTGCAAAGTACACAAACCCGATGATAGTCAGGAAAAACGCGACCGCTTTTTGCTCCTACAATCAACATATTGGTGAATAAACCAATGCTGGTTTGTCATATTGCGGACGAAACCACAGATCGTTTGACGTAGGATCCTTCTCGACACAGGCAGCGTCACGTACGTGCGTTTCTGCGTGGTTCTGGGTGCCCGTGTCCGTCATGTACGTCCACACGCGCCAGACAGAGTCCCCGTACGGATTGTGTCCTGCTACCTGGACAATCGGTCCCAACGAAAATGCCATCACCACACACACAACCACGAGCAAAATGGCTTGGCCTTGGTTGGTGGAAATGAATGTGTCAACAAGGTACCACCACCGATCATGCCATCGCATCAGAGGGACCATATGAGGCTGGTCGAGCTCGTCAGGTGGAGTCGCATCCCCCTCCAAGATCGGGACAAGGGCGTTGCCCACAGAGGTGGTCCCCCGAGAGAGGATCTCGTCTGCAGAGGCGACCATCGAAATGATTAAAACACAGAGCGCGCCGTTTCAAACGGTTCAACCGTGTACCGGTAACTGTTGTTGGACACCCACAATAGTAACGTTAGCGTTGTTATGGTACGCAAGTTTCAGAGATATATCTTCAGGCTTGGAGGGAAAGTGTGTGGTAGAATGCTGCCTCAGCCTTGAGGGACATGAACATATGCACCCGTGTAAATATGATGCAAGGGGGGCATTCTCCATGAATCCGAACAAGCTGTTAGAGGGTACAGTACTTCTATTGTATGATATGCATGTCATGTACTTTGTTGTCTCGTGGTAATGTGTAGCTCGCTCTATGTATATTAATCACTGGTAGAGCCTGACAACAATAGCCGTCGTTCGATAGTACCAATATCGTAATCGACAAGGGATATTACGTTTTAAATACACGCAAGGTGGCGACGAGGTGGTCGATAGCAGCCAGTTCGTGGTGCAGATTTCGAAGAGGGTAGTGGTTGTGGGGGAGGTGGACATGAGGGCTACTGGGGGACTCTTCCAGAAACGGCTGGACCGCCGTGTTGTCCTTTTCCGACGACGACAGGCGTCGGTAGTTGACTTTCGAAGGGGGCAGTTTCGCCAGCTTTTCCGCTTCCACTCGCAGATGGTACCCGCTCGAGTTGAACGAATTCCGCTGCATTTTCACTGTCAGGCGGTCGCGTACGACTTCATCCATGAGCGAGTCGCTGGTGGAGCACTGTCTCAGGCCGATCGACGGCTTGCGACCGTTGGCAGCCGGGGACATGAGCCTTGGCAGGCGCGTTTCATCCTCGTGATTCTCGTCGTCGCTGTCTGTTTCGTTGACGTTGGTCACCCCCGCGCCTAGATCCAGACCATCCGACACAAACCCCCGCGGCGGACCCCTCCCTTGCGGCCGCGACATCAATTCGCTGGTGGTCGGCCGAGTAACCAAGTTGCTCACCGATCGAAACGCTCGTAGCTACAAAATCAAGGCACATATGGTTTTAGTAATTGCTAGGTATCAAGCACAATCAAAGTAGAATGAGTGATGAACATGTTCTCTTGTATAAACGAAGTATAACAGGTATGAGAGACGCCTTACCACTTTGACCATCAGCCGATGCGACTGGAACCGGCTCAGCTTGGATTTGCTCATTGCTTCTCGGATCACAATCATGCTATAGTCGCCCCATGTCCTCACAAGTGCCTTGTCGGTAGGGTTGAGCACCACGGGCGAGCCCGGCTGTTTCGAATTCACATAGCCACACAGCACTTCTTCATACATGGTGCTCGCGCGTTTAGCCAGTTGCCAAAAGCTCAGCCGCTCGTTCATTTCGCAATACCTATTGCCACACAGTCATAATATTCTAGCGTTTAAAACATGATGGTTTTACCGAGATGCCGGCAGCACGTCAAATGTGGACCCTTTGTCCCCGAGTAACTCGTCCAGAATGGCATTCACGTTGCGGTTCTCCGAGACCATGGCCAGCATCCGACTAACCAAGTCGTTGGACATGACATAATCGGACGAACACCGGATCGTGTGGCTGGAATTGATGGTCATTTCTGTGCGGGGGTCTAAAATTTCACTGACGCAGTGCACGTGTCGGCCGGATTGGAGCGACGCCGACGCCTACAGACAAATCAAACGTCATGTCTCATTTGGTACCTTCAACTAACTACATACATCTGAGAGATCGGCTAGACTTTTGTGAGACCGCTGGGCGACTTCAATCGCGCGAAGCATCACAACAGACGCCAGTACCAACGAGTCACTGGCGAGCCCTTGGTTACTGCTGTCGCTCATGACGAGAATGCAGTCGTATTGTGGCACTCGAAGGTGCTGCGCTTGCCTTCGGATGGCCACGTTGGCTTCGACATGTCGAACGTTCAGGTTCTCCAGCGATCGGACGTCCAGGCCGTCGTTGCGCAGTCGGTCAATGCGAATGTCCTCGGGCACTTCGTTCACCAGGTCGACCTCTGTGTTTGGAACGCTCAGATGGTTCAAAAGCCGCAGAATATCGCGAATGTCCCGGTGCCACCCACACAAGAGAATGCGCTTCGGGGGGGTCGGCAGCGGCCGCTTGGTCATGGCGGACACGGGCGTCGAGTCCACCGGCTCGGTCGCGGCGGTGTACGTATTGTCGTCTTCGGCCAGCACAATGATCTCGTCGCCAGGTTCGATGACTCGGGCAAAGTACGGCCGTATCCAGACTTTTCCGGCGCTAGAATGCCACAAACCAAACGGTTGGATTTTGGAATTCTGGGTAGACAAGACTTGTATATCTTACGCTGTTTTGATACCAATGGGAATGGCGTGGTCGAATCGACTGGCGAGCTGGCCAAACGGCAATCCGACGAGATCGGGCCACGCTTTGAAGTAGAATTCGTTGCCGTCAAACCCAAGCACGGCGTTGTACACGTCCGACAAGTGCGGCGACCGAGAGCACATGATCACGAGCCGCCCAATGATGTTGTGTGAGTCCACCGTCTCTAATATGTCCCCCGCGACGACCTGCAGCAGCGTATTGTTGTCCACGTCGCCGACGTCGGCCACCACATGCCCTTGTAACTAAACCAATTTCAAACACAACGGATGCCATGAGAACTCATGGTGGGCGGAGGCGAGGGACACTTCACTCTACTGTCAACAACGAATCGGTGCATCCAAACACAAGAGGAAGTGTGAGTGGTATACATTCAGGCAAGGGATACTCGATAAGCCAAGCACAAGACACAGTCGAGTGACTCAATATAGAGAGTTCCTTGTTCATTGGTTGGCACGAACCCCGTGCATGCTTTTGATGACCAAAAGCGTCCGCAAGAGCGCGGCGTCCGATACATCGGCCTGCTCGTCGCTCGACATGATGGTGATGCTACGTGCCTGCGGGGCGGACACTCGGAGCAAGTCGGTGGTCAGCAGCGGGTTGCCACAGCAACACACGAGCCGCGTGCCTTTCCAGTCGGTGATCACGTGGTAGATTTCAGCCTCCAGGTCGACTTTATCCCGCATACTCAGCACGACGATCACCCCCCCGCCCTCGCTTTCGTTGGCCGCGCAGATTTCCCGAATGAACGACAGCGAGTTATCGTTCCAGCCCAACATGAGCTACGCACGTTGAGTTCATACATTCAGGAAGTAAACAACTACGTACGGTATGGTTGGTCTCGACCACTGCGCCTTTGCCTTCTTTGAGGGTCTCCATTTTCGACACAATGCCGTCCACAATCACGCCGAAAATGACATTCACATACATCGTGCACACAAGGCACACCATCACACTGAGACTGCGAAGGGTCTACCCAAGACTGTTAGATGATACACAAGGGATAATATGTATGATTCCAGAAATAAGTCCGTGTACCCATAGAAATGACATGGTGCCTTGGCCGTCGTCGTCGCTCTTAGGGTCCAACGTGTCCATGACGGCTTCGTAGATGCACCGTGGCAGCGCGATACCTTGGGCTTGGTATGCAAAGGCTTCGTACGGGATCAAGAGCATGTCCAAGAACACCCAGAACAAAAGCAATCCGATGGTTTGCCCTTTTTTCGTCGAGATCATTGTGTCCACAATGTATACTGCCAGCGACAACTGGTAGCTTAGCCGAGATTCCTGGTGTGATGACGGAAGGGTGACGTCGCCCTTTGCTTTCTTTAGAGGAGGTGACTTGCCGCCCTCTTCATGCAGTGTCGGCACCACCACCTCGCCCGCCATGGATCGATCAGTCGTACTTGGTCCAACAGATCGGCGTCAACTTCTGGTGGTTATTGTCAGTTACGTTGCCTTTAGAGGCGTTTCAAATTCATTCATCTGGGTACATTTGGAAACGAAAGTCATACAGTACAGTATATATCGCCAGACCTCGCCAATGGAAATTGAACTTCCATGATATACACAGTACTCCTTAGTAGAAGCTAGTGCGTGAACCACGGGATGATAAACGACACTGCAATACTGAAGCTTGAGGAAATGCTATTTACAGTTAACAGTTAACTGATACCTGTATTTAGTGTGAAAAGATTTCAAATTAACTTGATTGGCTCAAATCTGAACACCCAGGGGTTACTCAAAATGGGGTAACTTGTCATGCCTTATGAAGGTACTGTAGGTACTATACGTTTAGTATGGTGAAATAATTTTGTAGCTGGAGATAAATGCACAATGAATATCGACGTCTTCTTGGAATCCCGTACATTGCACTCACCTTTGGCGGTACTGTATTGCTGCCGGGTCGATAATAAGGAGTGCACCTACTTTTCACAGTGAAAAATCGAGTTTGGAAGGTATATTGGATGTGACGGAAATGCAGTTACAGTATTACGGTAGATCCCCGTCGAAAGGTCACACTTTCGGGCGAAATGAACACGGCGGCCGTGCCTGCCGTCAGCAGCTGCTCGACGACGCTCCGTGATTCGATGGATCGCAGGCGGACAGCCATGTCTCGCCCGTCGTCTCCCAAACCTCACACCCTTGCTTCAGTGTCCTCACCCACACCCGCCACCACGGCCGTGGCCAACTCAACCGACCTTCTCGACGCGTACAAGCAATTCCACAAAGTATACTATCATTTATCCAGGCAACTCTTTGAGACAAACTCGTGATGCAACTTGGCTTAGGAAAAGCGAAGCAGGTCGAAAGAGCACCAACGACAGACGATTTTAGCTGCGAAACCACCCCCAATCATTGCGTCACTGCCTCCATCCCAAGACCCGGGTCTCAGCACGGCGCGGCATCGGCTATCTCTGAAATCGTTATCCCCTTCCGTTTCCGAACGAATCGCTGTGACCAAAGAGAGCCAGAACGTCATGGACGAATACAACTTTACAAAGGACGAAATCCAAGCCATCATTAAGGTACAGAGCGCAATCCGCCGACACTTGGCCAAAAAACGTGTTCTGGCCATGGCCAAGCCCGCTGAATACGTCCGGTTTGTGTGCGAACGATTGTTTGACGAGTGCTGTCGGACGGAGCTGCTCCCAGACGGGATGTCGACCCACGACGATGGGTACCTTGTGCTCGGTGGTCCAAATCTTCCCAGAATTCTGCGCATTCTGGAAGACCCGACCAATATCAACTTGGACTTGCTGCAAAAGCACACGATCGACCGCATTACGGTGGCCCACGCCGCGTGTCAGCGAGGGTACCTCGAGTTGCTGTCGTTGCTCGTAGCGTTCTGGACCACACAACCCCAAGCAAATGACTTGGCCGACGAGTCGTCGCACACGACGTTGCTGTACAAGTTGCTTGAGCAAGTCAACCAAGCCAAACGGGAAGGAAAGTTGCTGCGCGAATGCGGCTTTGAAGTGATCGAAACCATGAAAGCGCTCGTACATCATCATCACAGTATCTATAGATCATCACGATTGCATGTAGGGCCTCGCCCCCGACTATGTCTTTAATGCGATCGACCAGTTTCATTTCAAAGACGTGACCGTTCAAGATATGTTTAAAATATGTGGCCATCCTATCGTTCGAGCGCGCGACATCCACGGAAACACGCCGCTGCACTACGCCGCCGAAGGGGGCTACGTCAACGTGTGTGAATTCTTGCTCGAGCATGGCGCGTACATCAACGAACAAAACATCCGTGGAGAAACCCCGTACGTGCATGCTTTGTGGTAGTATAAATTCATGGAGGTTCTGGCTTGTAGACTGCACTTTGCCATTTCCAGCATGCACGAACCTGTACGTACTGTAGTAATGTAAAGACACCTTCAATTGGTTTATTAGCCATAACTATATATGTTTACATGAGATACGGTGTGTGTGTGTGTTTTGGAACTAGGTGTGCGTCCTGCTGGTCCGACGCAAGGCGGACGTGACGATTGCTAGGTATCGCGCGGTGGAGCTAGACACGGGCCAGCGGCTTCGAGGAGTGATCGTCACTGCCCCCGGGGGCGAAGAGCAATGTCAGATGCTGGCCGAAGGCGCTGCAGGTAGGTAGTTCAATAGTGAATTAATCTTCGTTCTTTGTACTAGTAGTAAATACTGTATGAGTGGAAATATTAATCCATTTGCAGCCAAGGCCAGAAAACCAAACACAGACGTCAAGCCGTCCACGCCAGCTACCAAACGCGTGACCCCCGCAGGCAAACTGGGCGCCCGCACCACTCGCTTTGTGCAGGCCACTGTCGGTATGCCGAATATACCTGTATATGTGGATGTTGTTCAGAATGATCTCATTTGTGGATTTGAGTGTGACACGTTTTGGTTGTGATGACGTTATTGTTTCGATGACATGCTTTCGACAAACCAGTATCACATTTCGACTTGTATGACGTTATGCTGCAGGCGTGTGCATGCGGCAGTTCGACCACGACGACTCCCGGGTGGGGGAAATGGTGTTCTTTCGTCTGGCGCCGTCCATGCAAGGCCTCCGGAGCCGGAATTCGCCGCTCGTGATTTTCTACATTGGCACACACATTTCCATGCCACGGTATAAGATCGCCCTGGCGCGGCAGTCCCAGACCAAGATTTTGCATCTCTTGATTGTAAATATGCCCAAAGTGGCGTACATGGCAATTGACCATTTCCGTACGCCGTTGTTTCGATGCCAAGTGATTCCAGGTACACAAATGATCCTTAGACTGAATGGATGATGTTGTTTTATCCGCCGAAAGTTGGAGTAAGATGATGATTTGTGGACTTTTCTATCTGTGATTGTAATGCATCAAATACATACATATTGATTGGTTGAAAAGAATGTGCTTCGTACAAGCTGATTGGCTAAATTCTTTTGTCGAAATTTTACATCATTTCAGTGATTCCTTCATGTGCGAGTTCACAACAGAATGAATTATCGTATATCAGGTCCTATGGAATAAATATCAAGGTGCTGGTTTGTCAAAAATAGATAATTGGGGTTTTGGCATGATGGTATAAATGTTAATTTGGTCGATACAATCTGCCGTGTCGAATCCAGCAACCATATATTGATGATATTTTCAGGCATTCGAGCGGTGGGGCAGAGCTGGCACACGGAAGGATGGCTATCCAACGACGACAGGCGGAAAAAGCTCGTGCATAAGATGAAACAGCAAGGGCCGCCGGTTCGGAAAGCCCCCCGACGAAGGAAATGGCTGTTCTACTTGCACCAGGCCATTTTAAAAGGCTGGGCGTACTTGAAGGGCCACCGGCTGCGGCGACGCTACCGAAAGACCGAGAGCGTTAGGTTGGATTCAGTATTGAAAGCAGTCGGGAAATCGACGGGCATTGTGTATGAATATCGCTACGAAAGCGAAACGTGCTCGGGATCGAGTCCAACGTTTGAGCTCATTATCAAGGTACGCAGTGTCATGTTGCTGGCCAACTTGCTGGGAAACGTAAGGCCCTTGCGTTTTCGTTTTGGTGTAGTCCGAGTGCAAAGAGTTGATGGCGCATCCGTGGGTGCAGAAGCTTCGAGACCACAAGTATGATGAATATATATATAAATATTTCTACAGATGTGAAAGAATGATATTGTAGGTGGAATATCTTTGGCCGAAAACATTACATTCGGCAACTCCGCGTGTACACGTATTTCTTTTGCTCGTATTTCTTGTCTATGTAAGTCGACTAGGATATCAATTACTAGTACATATATATATATCGGCTAGGAGATCCAAAAATATTATTTTAAATCTCAACCAATCGATTGCAACCACCATATAGCATCTTACTTGTGGGCGACACATCACTCGGGCTAAAAGAAGGCGGGTACCAAGCACCGTTATTTGGCCCTAACGCCCACGGGTTGGACTATTTGCGAGTCTTTGCGTCTGTCGTGTGTCTGATTTTCACAGCGCAATACACGTGGCGCCATGTAATGTTACCATCTCACCATGCTACGGACCCCAGTACTGAAAGCATTGGTTTGTCTAGATTCAAGAGATTTACCGCGGCGGGTGGCTGCTGTTCTTCTCGTATTGCACCAACATCTGGAACATATTTGACATTGTGCTGCTGAGCGGCATTTGGTTTACGACGCTACTGGACTTTATCGTGTACTTTCGCATCACGCCCATCTCGTGGGACCAGTGGCGGGCATCCCGCATGATATACGAAGAGCATTTCCGGTTAATCACATACCAAGAGTCAACGTTCAACGTGGTCATGTACCGCGAATACGACTGGCACACGACTATCATGTGCATCACCGCCCCTCAAGTACATAATATATATATATATATACGTCCCAACAATGCTGATTTCACCAAACATGCGATGTGGGGGTAGATATTTATCCGGTGGCTGCAGTTTTGTCGTGGCAACCAAACCCTAGGCCCGTTTGTCCGCATGATCTACCAAGTACCACGAATCAATCCGGATAATATATATATCATATGTTGCTGTGTGTGGTTGTAGATGATGGGCGACATTGCCGTGTTTCTGTTTGTGTTTGTCCTGTTTCTGTTTGGGTTTGCGTTTGCGTTTTACGTGCTCCAGGTACGAATGTAATGTATATATATATATACAAATTGATGAGCTCAACTGGATCATTTCATTGTGTGTTGAGAAAACCATGACATATTTCGTGGCCACTCTAGCTGGATGGGTTCCGTACGCTCGTGAGCTCTACCAACTCTGTCTACCAAATGAGTTTGGGGCAATGGGACTGGGGTTCAATCGCCGCCGGCGGGCCGCTCGCTGTGATGCTGTACATCTTGTACACTTGCTTTGGCACGATCATGATGCTCAACTTGCTGGTTGCGGTACGAAGTTACTGTAGTATTGTGCTTTTAGCCAAAGTATATTGGATATTTGGGCTGATGCACCAAATTCAGTGGTCGATTGTCTGTACTGAATTTTGTAAGAAAAATATGTGAGGAAGCCCACACTAGTTGAAGTCACACACTCGTTCGATGGTTTGCAGGAGTTTGATTGGCCACTTGAGAGTGTTCTGCCTTTTGATTGGTCGATCCATTTGTCTGTCGATTTGGTTCAGCTGATTCGATTGAACAGCACCACCCCCCACTCGAAATTCGAATCACCTTGACAATACAATATACACAAAAGGTTGCGAAGACTAGACCTATGACGGCATGTTATTAGATGCTGGGCCGAACGTACGAAGATATCTGGGACGACCGCTTGCTGTTCTTCCATCTTGAACGGGTAGGTCCGTTAACAATACCACTTTACAATACGATTAACTATGTGAGTAGTCACAAACGATATTGACCGTGCAGCACCAAATCGAGCCAGACAAGTATCGACGAAAGTATTGGTGCCAAACCCTATATGCACTGGAAGGCGATGCCGCAATCCAAGGCATTCCATACCAGAACTTTGACGATTAATCGCTTTCAACAACACGGCATACTACTAAACTCACAGCAGGAAATACTAGTTACTACCAAATGTTTCAAACAAACACAAACCGTTAACAAACTGTGTTCGATTTCTATTTTCAACGACTAGAGTACAATAAGGCTTTGCATCCCTCGAGCCAGGACTTGTGGAATGTCAAAGAAATTCGTTTGCAGGCAGCAACAAACCCCGAAAAACGTTCCTTCAACGAATGATGTAGGCCTGCAATACAACAATCAAAAGGGCAGTAGGCCAATTGGCCTACGATTATCCAAATCCATGTTTTTAATTGAAGTGTATATACAATTATCAAGTATAAAAGTGACAATAATATTGCTGTCATTTCGTACGTAGGCCACATGGCCAACGAGTTCACATTCCTGCCATATAAATTTTGCTGAGAACCACAGAACAGACGCCACCTGTCAACTCATGTGTTGAGGTAAAGTCTCGAGTGAGGTGGATGCGGATCAAGGTACTTAAAAGGGAATTGCATTGCATCTGAATTGTTGGTACGACACTACAGCTGAATGTATTCCGGGGTACTAGTAATATATAATTTGATGGTGACAAGGAATACCGTAGAATAAAAGTGCATACGATAGGAATGAACGTCCATGTCCATAACTCAGGCTGTAGAGTGAATCTGAGGCACCGCAATGGCTCGTTCAACTGGCCAGAGGTAGTGCTTTAATGTAGTATATGTGTGAAGTGTATATCTTCCCTGGAAGTGCTCAAAATGGATGGCTCTAAGGGGCCAGAACATCCATGTCAATACCTCAGGCTGTAGAGTGAATCTGTGGCAGTAGTACAAAGACGCGTTCAGCTGGCCAGTGGTAGTTCTTTAGTGTAGTGTATATGTGCCATGGAAGTGCTCGCAATGAATGGGGCCACAACATCCATGTCCATAACTCATGTTGCAGTGCGAATCCGAGGCGGTACAATGGGTCGTTGCGCCGGCAAACTGCAGTTATGTAGTGTAGTTTGTGTGCGGTGGATATGTGTGCCGGAAGCAAGCAAGCTACATTACATGTTATGGAGAATCAATTACTATTGGTTTCTTTGTACTTAGTGGCTCGCTGTTTGACTTTCTTCTTCAAAGCTGAGACGCGCTTTCGCTTCATCGACGGTGACTCAGCTGTCTGCTGGATGTTGCGATTTACGGCTATCTGCCACAATCGCTGCTTATCTTCAGGTGTGTACAGCAGCTGCAATCACGTGAGGGCTATGGGTTACCTGTTTGTGGCACAGACTGGCACCAGACAAATAGAGCAGTATTTGGTAGTTTGCCTGTATGTATTACCAACGCACACAAACCATTTCTTTACGTTCCGTTTTGCTCCGGAGTAGCCTTCTCCTATCTCGATCGGGACGCATTCGCCAACGACATCGTTGTGCGTAGCTACATCATCCTCTATGCTGACAGAAAGGCCAAGTGTGAAACGACCAGGTAGGTTTTTATAATTTGCTACTTCGCAAGTATACCATATTGCAATAAGATAAGGTTCATCGGCGAACGTTAATTGTGCGGTTTCGTACAACAGAAATATACATGTAACTTAACGTAACATATTTAACTTATTTAACTCATTTACGTAACTCTTGGGTAGGTTTTTTGCAAATTGCTACTCCACAAGTATACGAAACTTCAATGTAACGATTGAAGTATCCAAGGAAACTCTTCATGTCTTATATCATCATTACACCCATGACCGCGTTTCGCCACGTTCACACGCTACCAAGTGTCGAGTTTCCCTCGTACCGACTTACACTTCCTCGCTTTGGTGTATCACATTCTAATATTGAAGCATGCACATTGGTTCATGTTGACGAGCACGAGACGCACCTTGCCCAGCCTCATGAAATGAAATCACAGTACACTATGTGCACCACCCGAAGATGTCGAAGGCATACCGCGGTGTGAGGCTGCGTACAAGATCCAAACTTGTCTTGTGTCCAATACTACTGTTGTCAGTATGTGTGGATACCACATTATGGGTGAGGATGGAATAGCATCACCGGTCAAGCCTAAAGTACGAACTTGGGTGGTAACAATTTATAACAATGATTCTGATATTGGCGTCAATAGGTGACCGAAAACTTGTTACACGAGACTTTCGGTCATGGATCGGCGAAGACCCCAAACGTATGTCGAAGACCCTGTTCAAGATGCTGCGCGTACACCATCAGTCGGGCAATTATGGTGATGCAGCGTGTCCTACTCTCCGGCAAGTGCAACAATCCATCAACTACTTGCGAACCAAGGAGTTGCACCACCAAAGTACTCTGCCGGCTGTTGAAGAAGCGTTGCAACATTGGGTTCTGCCAACCCACAAGAAGATCAAGAAATCCATTACCCATTCGTATTCGGCGTGGAAAAAGTTAACGGCAAGCCCCGCCTAGGTAATGGTGGCCTTCGGTCGTTTCGAGTCGGTACGATATTTCAATGCGGTCTAGATAATGACACGTGTAATGATATTGTATACGATAACAATGTTATGCATTCATATTCGTACATAGGGTTTACGACGCTTGACGTCATGAATCGATACAAAACGACTTGCGAAGATAACCCCCGCCGCAAGATCTTGTGCCATGTCGACACGACATTTTCGACTAACAAGTCAGGGTACCCAGTATTCGTATTTGGGTACTCTGACATGGCTGGCTCGTTCCATGTGCTCTGCATTTGCATCACATCACAAAGAACTCATGACGACGTGGCCTGGCTGTTAAAGTCACCGAAGAAAGTATTTCAAGACCAAGTCGACTTTGCGTGGGAGCCACTAAATTGCTTATGACTCACGTATGCATGATATCATTACATACGGCTCATCTTGCATACAGTGCTATGAAATGCGTACTGGGTTGACGAACGAAGAATGGCGCGATGTCTCATTCGACATCTATCTGCTACATATGTCGGCAAGTCGTGTAGACCTGGGCGACTTAATTGCGGTGGTGCACGACAAGTGGGCGACGAGCCGGGGCCTGCGGAAGTTTCGGCGTTACTTCTTCAGCCAATGGCTGCCGTACAACCGTGCGTACGGTGGAACTGACGATGTCCGCTTTTGGAAGTGGCACGTGTACCACAGTCCACCTGGCAGCTCGTACACCAACAATCCAAAAGTGCGCTACAACTGCGAATTGAAAGATGTACGACAATTCTCATACACTGAATAACCTCATCTGTAGTCGATTGGTCGAACCAAACTCCATGTTCACACCTTATGCAAGAGATTGTGAACGTTCTCAATTTCGAGTCCGAACTCGAAAAACCATGGGTAAATAAGGCAACTGTATCCATCCGATTGAAGACCCACTTCAACTGATTGCTATCACGTGATGCTCTCACCGTTCGTGCCGTTCCACGTACCTACCCCTTCCTCCTGGCCCAGCGCCGCTTTCAAGGAACCTTGCTCTGTTTGAATTGCTCAAACAACCTGCGAGTGGATGGATCGTTGTTCGAACCCAAGACCCAACTGCCTTGCGGTGCGATTGTCTGCTTTGGATTCGTGGCGCCATTTGCAGCCATGTGCTGGCCGTATCCAACGAAGTCGGGATCAGACTTCCAGGGATGAGTACACCGCCACGGCGTCTGACAAGCCGTACGAGACGTGCAGATGCTGAAGACCAGTACTGTACCATTATCAGGTTCGCGGCCGTCGCCGTCGTTTGCACGTTGCCTGATATATCATGTTTGCTGGTTAGCTAATTTGGTCGATAATACATTTTGTATATTTCGTATTTGTGCAGCATACTATTTGCAAGTACAATACCTTGGGACTCCATTGTGTACAGAACATTGGTGTGATATTATATTTGATAAGCTGAATTAGAGTAGAATTGTGTATAGAGTGCCGATAAATTATGGTTCTCAGAGCCACCATGTTAATGCCTGGAGTAGTCGGGTGAGATAATTCCCACCTTAGTCAAGATTAGATGCTTTTGAACTTGTCCATACATGAAGGGCAGTGGCCCATAATGATATTCCACGCGCGTTAAGTATAAACGAAGTTAGCAAATTCTTGACTATTTGACCACACCACGAGTAACAGCGAACAAACAGCTCAATGAGTACTCAATACTGAACAGGTCTAATTTTGGTAGCTACAGTTACATACTCCCACTCCTGAAATCACAAAACTTAGTGAGAAATAGCCAATCACATGCTCTGAATTCATTTACAATAGCCAATCACATTGAATGTGAGTTTAATAACCAATCACATTGATCGTAGTCATATGTGTCCAGA